CTCCCGTAAAGATTTACACCCTCAGAAACCCTGTACAGGGTCGCTATGGGTCGGAACCGACTCGACGGCACTTAACAACAACAACAACAACAACATACTTCATATATTCCAAGTTTGCAACTGTTTTACCTCATACTGAGCTGTGCGCCATCAGCAAATGAAAGTTCCAAAAGCTTTAGTACATTTGCATCATCATGGCCAACTCAACTTTGAGGAGTCAGCTCTTTTCCAGTCGTATTCTGAGTGCCTTCCAACCTGAGGGGCTGATCTTCTGGGACTATTCATAGTGTTTTCTGTATTCATGTTTTCATCTTCAGGCACTACATCTGACAATGTTCCACTGCTATTTATAAGGTTTTCAGTAGCTAAACATTCAGAAATAGTCCACCTCTCCTTCTTCCTAGCTTGCCTTAATCTGAAAGCTCCACTGAAACTTGTCTACCATTGATAACCAAGCTGGTATTTAAAATACCAGTGCCATAGCGTCCAGCATCACAGCAACACACAAGCCACCACAGTATGACAGACGAGTGGTGGCTCCTAGCACATGGTAAGCACAATACTCGTATAGATTCCTTGTGTGGCACTGTAGGATAAGCACTGGACTACTACCCATGCTAACTACAAGACTAACAGTTGAAAGCCACCAGCCACCAGAAATAGGGTAACTATAAATTGGAACTGACTCCACAGCACACAATAACAAGATACTTGTATAAGTGTCAGTTATTATTATTACTATGGTTTTTAAAATAAAACTTACTGTGTATTCCAGAAGGGCGTTAAAGAACATCACTTTTCATGGTCATATTTCTTCCAAGAGAACATACCATTGCTATTTCATATATCAGGTACCAAAGATTAAAAGATTAAGGTCATGGGGTGTCTCCTAAATAAAGACTGTGTTTGTTTTGATGACTTTTTTCTTTAAACATGTTAAATATACTTTTTTTTTTTTTTTGGTGAATTGAGTGAAGGTTTATAGACAAGATCATCGGTTTTACATACAACAATTCATACACATTGTTTCATCTCAATGATTGCAATCCCCTCCATGTAACAAGCAGTTGTCCCGCTTCTTCCCTATAGTTATCCATGTACAAATACCTGCCTTCAAACTCTTATATAACTGTGGTATAGCCCACTCTTCCACCCATACCCATTCAGCCTGTGATTCTGTCCAGGTATCTATGCACAGAACACTATTGTTCTAAAGTTGTGTACGCATCACTATTTACCTCTGTCCCCTTTATCCCTTGCACATCTCCTTGTGGCTTCACTTATCTTCATCATTCCTCTTGTATATTGCCCTCCCCTTTCTTCTATAAATATTCTTCATGTCCACTCCTCAAAAGGAGTTTAACTTGAATAGTAATGTCTTTTGAAATGTATACATAGGTTAAAGGAATCATCATACAGTATATACGAAAAATATTTATCTCTTAAATGTTGAAATAACATGAGACTAGATAGCTCAAAGGCTAAGAACATGTTTTTCTATATCTTATCAGATTTCTAGGAGCTCTGGTAGTGTAGTGGTTAAGAATTGGGCTGCTAATCTCATGGTCAGCAGTTCAAAACTACTAGCAGTTGCACGGGAGAAAGATGAGGCTTTCTGCTCCTGTAAAGATTTCCAGCCTTGGAAACCCTATACAGGGTCGCTATGAGTTAGAACCGACTCCACGGCACATTACCACCACCACCAGATTCTAAGCATGTTTGTAACAGATCGGCAAAACCCAAAAAGAAAATATACAAAGCCCTAAAATTACACTTTGGCTTCTATTGCTTTAAAAATAATAATTAAAAAAAACAACAACACAGAAGGAACGGAAGCAAATATTGTTGAATGATAATACACAGAGGAGATTTTATCATTGCAATGAAACAATGGTGTAAAGCCAATGTTCTCCCAATTTAAACTATCACTCAGTTCACAATAAAAACTTTTTTTTTTTAAATGTACTTTACATATACTTTGTAGATTTTACACATGGATTTGAATCATTGCACAATTATAGAGAGGTAGTCATTTTTAGTTTTTGTTCCTCTAAAACCATTCATTTTTGACACCTTCCAACTTAAAAAAAAAAATCTATTAAAAAAAAACTTGAGTTTTCCATTCACTTCTCCAATTTTTTGGAATTGTAATTTTTAAATTCAGTTTCCTAGTGAAGAAACAACCAATTAATGAATAATCAATACATCCTACTGTTGTCTCCCTATTGGAGTACCCACCAACATAGGAACTGTTTTTACAGTCCTGGTGTGGCGCTCTGGGTTAATGCACTAGACTGAAAAGCTGTTTGAACTGTAAGGTCAGTGGTTCAAGCTCACTAGCTGCTCCTTGGAAACCTTATACAGGGTCGATATGGATCGGAACCGACTTGACGGCACTTAACAACAACAAACCTCTATGTGGAGTCTTGGTGTGGTGCTGTGGGTTAATGTGCTTGGACTGCAAAGTTAGTTTGAACTGCAGGGTTGGTGGTTCAAGCTCACTAGCTACTCTTCGGAAACCCTATGTTGTTGTTGCTGTTAAATGCCATCGAGTCGATTCCGACCCATAGCGACCCTGTATAGGGTTTCCAAGGAGCAGCTGGTGAGCTTGAACTGCCGACCTTGCAGTTCAAACGGTTTGCAGCCTAGCGCATTAACCCACAGCACCACACCAGGACTCCTCGGAAACCCTATACAGGGTCCCAAATGGCACTTAACAACAACAACCTCTGTATGGAAACCGACTTGACAGCACTAACAACAACCTCTATGTGGATTTCTGGTGTGACGCTGCAGTATCAGCACTGAACTGTGAACCACAGGTGGGCAGTTCACAACCACCAGCTGTTCCTTGGAAACCCTATACAGGATCGCTGAGAATTGGAATTGACTCGATGGCACTTAACAACAGCAACCATTATGTAGGAGCCCTGGTATCTCAGTGATTTGGCTGCTAAGCAAAAAGTTGGTAGTTTGAACTCACTAGCAACTCCATGGGAAAAAGATGAGGCAGTCTGCTTCTGTAAAGATTTCAGCCTTCGAAACCCTATGGCAACAGGCATGGTTTTGGTTTAACTTCTTTGTCCCCAACTATTTTTCAAGAGAAGCTGCTATCAAAAACAAAACAAAACAACTTTCTCTACTCAAGAGCTCACCAAGAGCCCCTGCTCATAAGCCTACAACCTTTGACATCACAGCTCCCACCTCACTCTTCCTCACCATCTTTTCCCTCATGACAGTTGGTGATTGTTTTTGTTAAGTGCCGTTGAGTTGGTTCTGACCCATAGCGACCCTGTATAGAGTTTCCGAGGAGCAGCTGGTGAGCTTGAAAAGCCGACCCTGCAGTTCAAACAACTCTGCAGTCTGGCGCATTAACCAACAGTACAATAATGTGGAGGTTGCACTCAGAGTCACAACAGAACCCAAAATTTGTACGCCTAAATGTCTTTCTCACCTGTTAACCTATTAAAACTCCAAATAAATTTCCCTATTACATAATTATAAAAGTCATGTTTTCCTATACATTACTACTTTTATAAGCTTCCCTAGAAATTATTTTTTTAATGAAGAATTTCTGGAAGTTCTTGAGGGTAGAGAATTTCATCTATGTATCTCCCTTCCCAGCCTATTTTTTATTTCATCAAATCCAAGTTGCCATCAACTGCAAGGTGTATTACAGACAGATTAAAATATGGAAAAGAAACATGCATCCTATATTCAATAAAATACGGTAGCAAAGTTACTTGTACATGTTGTTGTTAAGTGCCATCCAGTCAGTTGTGACTCACAGCAACCATGAATCCCTAGTCTGGAACTGCTGACCTTCCAGTTATTAGTCCAGTGCTGATCCTACATCACCACACCAGGACTCCTTCTATTATTGTACATAATAGGTACTTAATAAATGTGTACTGAATTGAATTACAGATTTTCCATTTCTTTGGAAAAAATGTATTTTGAGTCCCAGTAATCAGCTTCAAAAAATCTGTGTGTATTGGGGACTGGGGGAAAAGTACAACTATATTTTGAGGATTGCCTGTAATTAAAAAATTTTTTAATTGCCTATAATTTTACCCAATTTAAAAAGAATGAACATTCCCTGGAAAGGGGTATGTGTATATCTAGGTATATCTCTGTTGTTTTTTTCTCTCTCTCTTCTTACCTCATCAATGAGTTTCCTGGCATTTGCAATGGTATAGTCACCAGCAAATAATACCACTAAGCATGATTCATCACTGCTCTTCTGTCTCTGACCCCGGGATACTGGAATGATACTTCTACTGGCTTCCGTGGAAACTCGAACAGCTTTGAGCTCTTCTGTAGTTGGTAGAGGAACATAGTCCTGAACCACAGCATCTTCTGGAAGAAGGCTCCAGTTGAATTCTCCTGGCACAGGTGTAAAGTCGTGAATGCTACTCCATGTGTTATTGAAGATACTTAGCCCTGCATCTTTGAATTGGAAAGCTAACTCAGGGTAGTACCATTGAAAGCACCCAAACTTGATATTTGTCGAAGACTCGATGATGGGTTGGGTGGCACAGCACAAAAAGACTTCCAGTTTTCTACAGTCCCGCACACGAAACTGTTGGCAGGCTAAGGTACATTTGCAATCTCTACAATTGCGGAAAAACACACTGCCTTTCACGGGTCCCAGAAAAAATATGCAGTTGGTACAGTCATCAATAGTAATTGTAGCAGAGTGATCAAAAATATAGATGTTACAGTTCTCACAGTCTTGAATGACAAATTGTTGTCCTGCTACTTTCCCAGGCAAGCGGCCTACGGTTTCATCCTTTAGTCCACTAAACATGTAGTCTTTTGGATCAACCTGCAGGGAGAAAACAGAGACCTTGAGTATTATTAACATTATTCAACAAATATTCATTATCTATTAGGTGCCAGGCACACGGTTCTTATTGCTAAAATATAAGCCACAACTCCTACTGACTTTGCAATACGTTATGACAATAAGCAAGTAAACAAAAATACATATAGTAATATCAGTTATGAAGAAAAGATAGCAGGACTACTAAGACAGATGATGACTGACTGCGTAAACTCTAACACACAGACACAACTGAATACTCTGCAACTGTAAAAAGGAATAAGGAAGATTTCTATATACGGAACTAAGTGGTTTCCAGGATAAATCTAGAGAGAAAAGAGCAAGGGTATTGTTGTTAAGTGCAGTTGGGTCAGTTCCGACTCATAGTGACCCCGTGTAGGGTTTCCGAGACTTATAAAGCTCATCTTTCTCCCACAGAGCAGCTGGTGTGCTCAAACTGCTGACCTTGCGGTTAGTGGTCTAGTGCTTATTCTGCACAGCCACATTTCCCCCAAAAGTATGGTGCAAAACAGTATGTATAGTATGCTATCTAACAGACTATATAGCAGTGGGTTTGCTTTAATTTTGGTAAGAAAGGGAAAGCAAACGTGTGTGTGACAATGGAAAGAACAAGCAAACACTAATAAAAATGCTTTCGAGTGCAGTGATACTATACAGTAAGCACTGGACTGTGAACCACAAGGTCTGTGGTTTGACCCCACCTAGCTGCTCTGTGGGAGAAGGAGAGACTTTCTGCTCCCACAAAGATGTACAGCCTTGGAAACCCTTTATGGGGTCGTTGAGTTGGAACCGATTCGATGGTACTTAACATCACCACCAACAATAAAAATGGCTATCTATGGAGGAGTAAAAGAATGAAGTAGAGAAGATAAAAGTGGAGCCAGAATTTTCTGAATGTACTTTGTTTCAAATATTTAATTTAGAATCATGTAAATAGCTTATATAAACAAAATCAAAACAAAAAGATAAATAAAGCAATCCCTAACTATTGAACAGAGTCCTGGTATGGCACTGTGGGCTAACATGCTGGGCCACAAAGTTCTAACCGCAAGGTTGGCGCTTCAAACTCTCCAGCCGCTCCTTAGAAACCCTATGCAGGGTGTCTATAATGACAACAACAGCAAAAAAATATTGAACACTGAAAGAAATGAACCTAACCATATATCAAATTCTTGGAATTCTATACAGAGAAAGTAATTGTTTCAGTGACCTATTAAATACAGAATTTCATCTGTATAAAAAGAACCATAAAGAAACCTTAAATTGCATTTTGCAGTATTACAGATGGCGATAAAATCAGCAATGTTACTACTGTCTAATGTTATCAGACATAGCCTAATGTGCTCCACAATGAGCCATGTCTTTGTATATTCCTCTCTCTTTTAGAATGGATGAAATCTGTGACTTGCTTCTGACCAAAAGAATACAGCAAAGGCTATCACTCCCATGGTTATGGCAAGCATGAAGATATTTTACAGATGTGATTAAGATCACAAATTAGCTAATCATGATCTTTAGCTAATCATTAAAAGATTATCCTGTGAACGATCATCTTGTGAAAATGCATACAAGTGAAAATGGGCTGTTTTGTGAGGAGAGACTAACTTTGCTGGCTTTGAAGAAGCTACAGCCGTTCCTTGGAAACCCTATACAGAGTTGCTTTTAATCCGAATAGACTCCACAGAAGTTAACAACAACAACTAGTAAGGAAAGAACCACCTAGGAAAGAACTGCAGGTGGTTGCTAGAAGCCAAGAGCAACTCCCAGTTGGCAGCCTGCAAGAAAACAGGCACTCAGCCCTACAAACCACAAGAAGATGAACTCTGCCAATACCTTAACTGACCTTGCAAGCAGATTCTTCTACAGCTGAAACTCCTGATGAGCATTAGAACCTGGCCAACACCATGACTGCGCCTGGGAGACCCTGAGCAGAGGAGCTAGCTAAGCCATAAAACTGTGTGGTTAATTTAAGTTACAAATTTGGTGGTAATCTGTTGCATAGCAATAGAAAACGAATACAGTTATTGTGAACCTATTTGTACGTACATTATGTTGTTGCTAAGTGTCACTGAGTCAGTTCCGTCTTATAGCGACCCTGTATAGGGTTTCCAAAAAGCGGCTGATGAGTCTGAACAGCCAACCTTGCAGTTCAAACCAACATTGCAATCCAGTGCATTATCCTGCAGCGCCACCCAGGACTCCATGTACATTATGGGATAAATGAAATAATTAGGATAATGTTTCTTTCAGCATAAAAGAACAGAAGTATAAAATCCACAGTTAAGTAAAAATCCTGTAATTTTCATTTAAATTGGAAATATTAGTGTGAACTTATGTTTTCCTCTCCTTGCAAAAATATTTCCTAGTTCTGACTCCTGAAAATATTTAGAAGCACCTAAAATCCAATAGCGGTGAGTACCTCCTAAGTGCCTTTGGGAACATAGAGCATTTCAGATCAAGCCTCCCTCCGCCCACATACACACACAAATTACAAGAAGTGCTTAAGACATCTTAATGTGATAAAAAGCAAAGAAGCTGTCAAAACTACTGAAGTCATGTCGCTGTAGCTAACTTGATGGGGCTTCCACTGGTCCGAGATGGAACAACTAGAGTATTGATAGAAGAGTGATGACAATGGACTGAAACACATAGAGATATAAACACCTGAGAGTTCAAATGATATATAAAAAACAACAACAAGAGGCTGGCTTGCACACCCGGCTGCTACAAAGTGAGGGGAGATGCACAAGAACACCCATACTTGCAGAAATTACCCATTTGACCTGGCTTCAATGGTTGGATGACCAGAACTCGACTAGAGGAAGAAAGAAGAGGGACAAAAAAATAGGGATCCGCTACAATTTGATGAACTTGACCTATGCTTGTGGATGTAGTAGCTCAAAGAAGGGAACAAATCTTTATAGCGAGGATCATTCCCACCCCCTCAGTACACAGGGTTGATAAAGATGGGCAACTTAAAATTGGCTACCCAAAATGGAAGGAGCTCTGGTAGTGTAGTGGTTACGAATCGGGCTGCTATCCTTAGGGTCAGCAGTTCGAAATTACCAGCTGTTCCACAGGACAACGAGGCTTTCTGCTCCAGTAAAGATTTACAGCCTCGAAAGCCCTGTACAGGGTCGCTATGAGTCAGAACCGATGCCACGGCACATAACAACAACAACCAAAATGGGGGGCGGGGGGAGCTACAAAGGCAAGAAGTGACTGGCTTACAAGCTTTCAAGAGGGAACCTAGTTCCAAAGGGTGCGGGGGAAGGTAGAATCTCCACTGAGTGGTTTCCAACCTGTCTGGATGGGGCTGCTGAAAGGAGTTGGGGATAAGACTCTTGTGGTTCAATAGTGAATGATTGTTGGAAATGTAAACGTAGACCTTTTGTAACAAAAGGAGGGGATTGGTTGATTTTGTAGTCCAGGGGTGGAGGTCCCTGAGACCGTCAAGGGAGAGGAGAAGAGTGCAGGACCCTGTTCAGAGATGCAGCAATGCCGGAGATGGAGGCAAAGAGGATGATGTGGAGAGATGGAGTGGCTAGGGGCTCTGGACTCTGTGAGGGAGAGGGTCTGTGTGTTGATGGTGAGGGGGCAGGCTTGCGGGGTGTACCCTTTGGTTGTTTGATGATGCAAGCAGGGAACTGTAATCATTGCAGTGAAACAAAGTAGGATAGGATGAATGTGGAGAGGGTGTTCTCCCATGTAGACTATCATATAATTCACAAGAAAAAGAAAAAAAAAAAAGAGGCTGGCTTGCAGAATGTACCCTTTGGACATTTAAATGAATATATATATTTTGTTTCGTGGTGTGGCACTGTAGAAGCAGCACTGGACCACAAGGTCAATGGTTCAAACTCACTAGCACTGGAAACCCTATACAGTGTCACTATGAGTTGGAACTGACTTGATGTCACTTAACATGTGTACATCAAATCTTTCTGTTTGGTTCATTTGTGAAATATAAGATATAAATGGGAGCCACGGGGAGGAAGCAGGATAACTGTTGTTGCAGGGAGGGGATTGTAATCATTGAGATGAAACAAAGTGTATAATTTATTGAATGTGAAGCAGATGATCTTGTCTGTAAACTTTCACTCAATTCACAATAAAAAGTTAAAAACAACAAAAAACTTTGTTTTCCTTTGGCGATTGCTAAGACATCAAAACTCATTCTGAAAATTGATAAACATTATTAAGCATTTATCCTGCCTTGCCTGAACAAAATGTTTTTGAAAGTAACCAAATACTTGATGAGGAACAATTCTTCTAGAAGAATTACGGTTAACAAATGTGCAAGGAATGACAGAATTAGAAAGCCACCATTTTGTTTGTATTATTAAGCGGAATCAAGCCGGTTCCAACTCATAGAGACTCTGTACAGGGTTTCTGAGGCTGTCAATCTTATATGGGGGCAGATAGCCTCATCTTTTTCCCACAGAGCAGCTGGTGGGCTTGAGCCACCATCCTTGTAGTTAGTAGTACAGTGCTCATCCTACAGAGCCACAGCACTCCTAAGCTATATTAATCAACTGTATTCAAGTAGGGTATAGCTCTCAAAAGAAAAAAAAATGTCTCAATGTAAGCAAAGCAATATAACTGAAAACATATGAAATGTGTCTATTTTAGAGTCTGCATACCTGTTTCTCATTTGTTTGTGTGCCATCATCCCTCTTCCAAGGGTCAATCAAAATAATTCAATGGTGGTGGTGGTTGTGTCCCATCGGGTCAGTTCCGACGCATAGTGACCCTGTATAGGGTTTCCGAAGCTATAAATCTTTACAGGAGTAGAAAGCCTCATCTTTCTCCCACAGAGCAACTGGTCGATTCAAATTGCTAATCTTGTAGTTGGCAGCCCCGTTTGTAATACACTATACTGCCTAGTCCTGGCATGGAGCTAGAGTCCTGGTGTGAGGCTCTAGGATAAACACTGAACTGCTAATTGCAAGGTTGGTGGTTCAAAACTACCAGCCACTCTT